CAGCCTAGGAATCTGCAGTGGGGGGAAAAACAAACCAACCAACCACCCACCCACCCAAACCAACCTGCAAAGAAACAAACACAGACGTTGAGCCACATCCATGTGTTTTGCTCTGCGAAGGTCAGCGGAGTTACAATGAATGTAAAGAAAGCCCATTGTATTAAGAACTAAAATCCACAGCAATAATGAAACACTGACTGTCAGCTTTAGTTCAAACATAGGCACTGCACAGGGACAGAGCTTCTGCTTGGGTAATAAGCTGCAGCGGTTTATACCAGCTGAGGACCTATTCCAAATGCTCCAAGGAAGCCATTTCCATTGCTAAACCCAATTATTAGGGTTGTGTACTTTGCAGCTTTTTTTAGTAGGTTACAGTTTCTTCTACCAATCTATGAAGCTATGCTATGAGCAGCTGGTACTCCCGGGTCTAACAACTCCACCACAATTTTATACTCTCATACTCCAGCCTCCCATGCCTACATTTACAATAGAGAACCACAAAGGGTAAGTATCACAAGTTCCTTCCCCATGCCTACAGAGACTTACCCACTAGCTTCACAGAGTGACCTTTGTTACAAGAGGATTTACACTGGTGTCCTTGGAAGCAGCAGATGGTCAGGATGAGCTGCTGCCATCAACATTTTCCTTTAGTCTGTGAAATTATTCACAGTCCCCTCAACAGTGGAGGCGTTTTCTCAGTTTAAGAGCAAAAGCACACTAGTGAAAAGATGGGACAAAATACCAAGTCAAGTGGTAGTGTCTTTAAAAGACACTAAAATGAGCAGGATTTGGGGATTACATAAGAGCAAGAAACCACTATCTAAATCTGATGTATGAATTAAATGCTGCACCTTATCAACAGGAAATACGAACACATTTCCTTAAATTATTTCCTCTTGCAAATCATTCCCTGTAGGTCTCAAAGGAAACAACAGAACCAACCAAAAAAAGTTTGCATTTCTTTGCTGCCCTGTTCAAAGAAAAATGCAAAAGTCTGGTTTGCTTTTTAACACCTCACTATTTAGACAGAATTTCTTGCTCAGAGAATTTATAGTACTTTACAAACAGGCTGGTATCATTATCTCCACCTGTAAAATGAGGAAATAAGAAAAGCAAAGGCATCTTTAGAACTGTACCCAGGCTGTCTCCCGAGTCACCGTATTTTGCCACACTACTAAGCCTCCCCGACCATATAAACCCAGCACACTAACCTGCAGCAGAGCTTTCTGTCCTTTGAATCGTATTTTACACCATAGATAGAGAAGGGGGAAACGGTTAGATACATGCACATTTAACCGAGAAATCTTCAACACTTCTGACAAATTCTCCAACTGTTTTATGTACTGCCAACGTGTCTCTGGTACATGTAAAATATTTATGATCTTGGTTCTGTAATGGGAGTCTCTTCCCTCCAATAACTTGAGCAAGCTGAAGGGTTGACGCGCTTGGCTTGAATTGTTGGCTCATGTGTTACCTTATGCTGGTTTTAATTGCAACGTATTCTTGCCTAGAATGACACGCTTGTGTCAACACAAAACAGGCTCAGTGCAAGATTCACAATGGAATTTGAAACACTCCATAGTGCAGAAACATTGGAATCCGTGAGCTTGGTTTCAAATCCTTCCAGGGAGATACTTTCTGAGAAGTCTGCATCTGGTTTTCTAATCCCACTGAAGTTTGAGAGTATTCAGGTCAAGATTTCCATTAAGCCCCTTCCCTAACAAGCAGGGCCAAGACAAACAAAGTTACATTTGCCAACATATCCCTAGAGAGCACAATGCATCTCTGCTCTAAAATCCTCATGCCACTTTTACCAAAGCTGGTGGGGGCGGTGTCAGTTTTAACCTTAAAGGGGAACAAATCTTCTAAGTTTACAATCATTTAAAACACAAACTGCTTGGCAAGGCAGCCATTCAAGACAACTTCTCCTCAAATAACAAGAGGGTCAAGATAGACAAGGCTGATTGCAATTTAAGGTACAGGCTGAAAAGCCAAACTTTATTTATAGAGAGCACAGAAAATGGCTTGAAGACTTTGGTGCTGATGGAATTTTGGAACCATAGATGAAGAAAATCATCCTTCTCAATGTTATGAAGACTTTTTCATTATCCTTTTAAAACAATTCTATAAAAGGCAGGTTTGCTTCCACAGGATTCTGTTCGTTTCATCTTTATTAAATACGTTGGGACATCTCCCACAAGCATACTAAAAAAATACATTAAGCACAAAGTCAAGTGATGTTCTTTACTCAGCCATGGGAGAAATTTCTCAGTCCAGTAAGTGTAACTTCAGAGTGAAATAAAAAAAAATGAGAAACTAATCAGGGCCATGAATCAGTCTCACTGGGGAACAACAGGGCTGTGCAGAACACAGATCTAAATTGCTCTCAACGTTAGAAATCCAGCCCGGGGATCGACACTTGCTGATGAAAACTTGTCGCCAGATGAAGAGGCTGAGCAGGGCAGACAATTTTTTGCTGCCCTCTGCAGGGTAGCGTTGAGATTGCCATTTGCAGCAGGACCCGGCAGAGGAACAGGTTCACAAAATCATCAGTGCTTCACAGTGGAACTTCTACAATTTACTGGAGTATTATTATTTCAACAGTAACCAGTACCCAATTTATAGTTATTAATATTGCATCTATAAATGCAAATCGACAATGTTACTCCAGTTGAAGGGTCCATTATAGTTAGGCTTATAGTTTCATTCCTGTTTTCTCAATTAGATAAAGAATGGCAGAGGTTGGAAGACTGGAGATCATCTAGTCCTGCCCCTCCCTGCCAAAGCAGGTTCACCCAGAGCAGGTTGGACCAGAAAGCATACAGGTGGCTTTTTAATATCTCCCGAGAAGGAAACCACCACCTCCCTGGGTAGCCCATTCCAGTGCCCTGGCAATCTCAAAGTGAAGTTTTTCCTTGTGTTGAGATGGAGTTTTCTGCATTCCAGTTGGTGCCTCTTACTCCCTGTCTTCTCGCTGGCCACCGAGAGAGTCTGGCCCCATCCTCTTGACACCCACCCCTTAGATACTTCTAAGCATCGATAAGATCCCCCTCAACCTTCTCTTCTCCAGACTAAACAGACCCAGGTCTCTCAGCCTTTCCTCACAAGAAAGGTGCTCCATTCCCTTGATCATCTTCGTACCCTCTGTTGGACTCCAACTTTCTTTAACTGGGAAGCCCAGAATCGGATACAGTATTCCAGATGACACCTCACTAGGGCAAAGTGGAGGGGGAGGATAACCTCCCCTGACCTTCCGGACAGTCTCTTTATGATGCACCCCAGGATGCTACTAGCCGCCTTGGCTACAGTGCTCATAGCTGGCTCGTGGTCAACTGGTTGTCTGCCAGCAAGAAGCCACTATACATCCAAACCCAGTAAACTGGGCATGGTCAGATCTCTCTTCTATTCCATAGTCACGTGCATGTTCTAACTAATGCAGGACTCGAAGCAGCACCCTCTCTCTGATAACACAGAGCAACCACCCTGATGCCTCAGAAAGCACAGCTACGGCTTTCTTGCCATGCAGAGAGAGAAGCCTGTTAGACTGTGCTTTCCACAATATGTATGTGTTCTGGAAGCATGCAGAAATAATCTTTGATGGAACTACTAATCCCTAGGTCACTCCATCATATAGGAGTAAAAGAACAGCCCTCTTTCTTGCAGCCTCACCACCAGCTTCCAATCTTTACTTTGGTTGCTTGCTAGGTACTGAGACATAACCAGGAACTGACAGGTACCAGAATAAAATACTCTTCCAAGCTCTCGTCCTCCTCTGCTATCAAGGAAAAGATTAAGCAAGCATCACTGTGTCATTCACTGCCTCCTTCCAAACTAATGCGTAAGTTATACATTAGATGATTTAAAAAAGTGTTCCAGTGGTAACTATTAACTCCTCACCTGAGAATAAACAAACATGGGTGCACCAGTATCAGCCAGTGTCAAAACAAAAAGCCATCAAAAAGTTTCTGAGACAAGTGATTAAAGAAACATGAGCACCTGTAGAAGATTACTGTTATTCAAGTGACTAGCCATTCAATCCACGTTCATCTGAGAACGTTTCCTTTAACTCCAAAGCAAAGCAAGGATATGGTTCTAGTTCCAGCTTATTCTCTTATGGAGGTATTTTGTGCTCCCATTTCCTCATTTACCACAACACAAACAACAACAAAACAAATATATCAGCAGTATCAGGAACCTTAATTCACTTCTGCTTGCAGGACACCTTATATACTGCTTGACACCGTGTAAGCATAGATGTTTTCTTCGTCATTACACGTCTGATGTCACATGAGTACGTTAAAGACAACTGTGAGGCTGGAGGATAATATGCCCATATACGAGAAGGTCTGTTGTGGAGAAACCTTTGCTAGGAGAGTCTTAAGCACCCAGTATTCCCATTGGATGCAGCAGGCCCTACAATACATCCACATGTGCATTTGCAAGTTGTGTATCATATATTTATAATTCCTTCTTACTGAAACACTTAAAAATAAAAACAAAACCACTCTGTATTTGTCATGGCTAATTTTGTCAAACGCCAGTATTAGATACAAAATCACAAACTACAACATAATATTACAGCAGAGATGTTGGAAAGAGGGAGGGTTTTTAAAGCTATCCAAACCAATTTAACAGCATCATATGAAAACAAAAGAAAACTGCATTACATCGCAGCATGTCAAAACTGGCAAAGCTTGGCAAACAAGTTGAAGTTTAGAAATTAAATACTTCCTCTCGAGCAACCCATTATCAACAACAGGTCTATATAATACAAACAAAAAGTCCAGAAATGCATTGACTGTTTACACCTATCACCTGCACTCTCGCTTCCAGAGGTCAAGTACAGTCAGGGTACGAACAGCTCAGCAGCACTCCAAGCAAATCTGGGAAACGGTGTAGCATTCCCAGCCTTACAGAAAACTCAGCAAGCAAGCCAAAGGACTTAACATGACTAAATCGGTGAAGAACATAACCCAACTCAGCTCTGACCAGGATCAGCCTCATTCATCAGCATCATCAAACTGGCCAGCCTCAGTCATTCTAACCGGTGGTGAAAACGCAAGGCAAGCTGCATGGTGACAGCCTGGGTCGTAAAACGAGTCCTCTCGCCACGGGTATGAGGCCAAAAGATTATTTTCCTGAAAGCTTCCACAGTAGAAATCACCAGCATCTAAAGAAGATCAAAGAAAAGATATAAACCATGGGAGATACTTAGAAAAAGAGTGGTATTGTGTGGTAGACTATGTTGCAGGTCTACAGCATCTTCCAGTTCAGTATTTCTATCTAATCTGCCAGCACTTGTAAATTAGATCTACAAACAAAGCAAACAAAGCTGAATTTAGCAATTTTTTTCATTTTAATGAAGGTTCTTGCCACAGAGACTAGAGTTTTCCAAAAAGCTCGATGACGTACCTGGATTCAGAACATCTGACACCAGTTCTTACAGTGTATGCAGTGCTTCTATGTTTCCTCCAAGCACAAAAGGCTCATGAAACCATTATTTTTATTTCCCCTCCCCTTTCCTGATGTCTCCATAACCACATCCCAAACAGGAGCCCTCCGCAACCTTGAAGAACTGGGTCACTGGACAGAAGGGAAAGGTGGGGTCCTGTAAAAGCCAGCTCTGAACATTTCCACTAGGCTAGAATTAAGCCTAATAAACCAGTTATTTAACCAGCCTCGCACAAAAACAGGGCAAAGTCCTTAAAGAGAAGCAAAATATTTCTAGCCAGCAGACACTGAAAGGACTGAGCAAAAAGCCCAGAGTACAGGGCAGCAGAGAACCCACCACAGTATATCCACGTGCCAGCTTTCCAGTAGCACTGCCAAACAAGCCATCCAAACAAGCTTTTAAAGGAGTTGTTCAAAAGCCATGAAATGATGGACCAAGCACATTTTTTGAGTTAACAATTCAGACATTTGTACTCAGTATCCTTCACATGCACCTGAATCCCATAATCACTAATTCCGAGTTGGCGAGGATTTGAAGAGCATAAGCCACAGGTAGGGATGAGTTAGTTAAATTAAGTGAAATTGTGACAATTCGGGGGGGGGGAAATCAAAACATTCCATAAATTTGAGCAGATGAGAGATGAAAAGGAAAGGCCAGGATGGAAGAGGGGGAAACATCCAAAAAGAAAATAGTCTTTTTCTCAGATTACCCAGTGTGAAAAAAAACTACTGTATTTCCATTTTTAATTCACAATGATTTTATAGGAAGGCTGCAAAAACTTTCCCACTTCTTTCTGTTATCAAACAATGGAATTTCAACACAACAGACATATATGGAATGAAAATAAACAGAGAATTGATACTTCCTAGGCAAAGAAAAGAGTGTTTGTATTAATTACAAAATATTCACGTTAATGAAAAGAAAATGGAAATGGTACTATTCTGCATCAACAAAGACACAGCAGGTCACCACTGCTGGCTAAACTCCATCCACTCATTCCATCCTAACACCCGGCCTGGCACATACAAGACTGAGACTCTCAGTTCAAAGCAACAGTCACCACAGAACAGTTTACAAACTGGAGAATTAATACAAATCTAAAGATACAGATGAAACTGCTCCTATCCATTGTCACCTTTGCCTGTGGAACAGATCACATGCATAACCACTTAAGAGGATCAAACTTCAAAAAATAACCAAAGGAAAAAAAAACCCACAACATCACCACAAAACAAAACCCACTACCATACAACAACAACAAAACCCTACAGAAAAAATAATAAACCATATTCAGGACAGCAACTGAGCACTTGCACTCCTCCCCTCCAGAGAACTCCATGCTCTGGATTAATTTTCTTGGAGGCAAGGAAGAACTCTGTTTACACACAGAAGTTATATTCCTGCACTCCATGTACCTTTCTCTTCTGCTTCAGAAGAACCAAGATACCCTACTAACTTCCCCAGAGAAACCTGATACACACATTCCTCTCCTTACCATCCCACACCCTAACAATTTAACTGCTCAGGCAAGACTTCCACGTAAACTTCACAACACTGCCTTTAAAGCTTACATTTGGCAACAAAATTATGCATCACAAATCCATGAGGTCATCAACAACAAAAAAAAATTACTTCCCTAAACGGAACGTTGTTTGGAGTTATTTAAACACATTGCCCTGCAAAGCACCTACCTCCAATCACATACTATCCAAAAGTCCAACAAAGCGCAAGTAAATCTGTACTTACCATAAGGATTACATTCAGAGTCCTCCAATTCTTTATCCCAGTCCTCCACCTCGTACACAGCAGCAGTTTGCAGCTCTGGAAAAGCTACAGCTTCAGGCGTACTGGAGACTTCAATGGACAGGTCTTCCAGGTCAGAATGTGTATGAACACAGTCACCAGCAGAGCCACTGACATCATTTTCATTGTGAGAGGTATCAGAAAAATCACTTTCTTCAGACTCACTATCAAGAACATTTGCAATATTCTTCAGCAAACATTCTAAAACCAATAGAAAGCCAAGGAAGATACTTAGGAATTACACAGGAACAATTAAATGCTTAGCATACAATAATTCAGACAGGTATGCAAATGCAGTGTGACTACTAATCTAATTATAATATATGCAATTTCTTATATATGTAGTATCACTACAGTGCTGTTTCAGGTTTCAGATGCTTAGGAACACTGGACACAGGCTTGCATCACAACACTAGCCCAAGTCAGGATTTTCCACATAACTCTTTAAACAAGGACAAAGGACCCAGCAGTCTTGTTTCACATTCACCTATTGGCATTTTTAAAAAATAGGTATGCTGAAAAACCACATCTCTGGTTTAAGGAAAAAACAAAAAGGTTTGGGGTTTTGTTTTTTGTTTTTTAGTATTAATTCCTTTTGCACCTGGGCATACATAGTAAGCACACAGAAATAATATAGTGCAGTAACTGAAGAGGCATTGTCCATACATTACCAAAAAGTTTTAAGTATCTTTCCTCAAGCAGAGTGTAACTTCCATTACTCACATCTGCTTTTGTTTTCTAACGTTTTGAGCTTACCTTTTGTGGGTTTCCAGGTCATAGTTTCTCTCTCTTTAGGAAGTTGTTCCTCCTCAAAGCTCACAGACTCAATGGCAGCAGTCACCACCTACAAGACAGTTTTAAGGAATCCAGTAGCACCTTTCACTAATCCCTCCAGTAAGACTCATGCAACTTCTACTGCATTTGAGTGTTACTGAGCCCTTGAGCACGTCCTGTTTGTTCCCCTGATGAATCAGAGGTTTTAAACCAGACAGGCTTTCCCTTCAGAAAGCAAATCTACCGAGGGCCGGCTCACCCTACTGCTGCCATCCGTCACCCCAGGCGGCAGTCGACACAGAACTGCCCGTCCACTCAGTCACGGCCCTAATCCTGCTGCCACCCCGCGTTTTAGAAACAGGTCCCAAAACAGGCCCTTTTGGGAAAAGCAGCAGACCGAAAGCTGCAGAGATAACGAAGACACAAGGAGTGGGATGAATACAAGCACCAAGGCTGTGACCTGACCACGCTGTGGGAGCCAACGTGCCAAGGGCAGAGGGCCTGGCACTCCCGCAGCCCGGAGGAGCTGGAGGAAGATGGCAGACACGCACCTGGAGAGCAGAAGGTTAACACCTCCAGTGGTTTCGTGGGCCCCAGAAGGAAAGGAAGGACGAGTTATCCAGGCCACTAACACCACAGCAAAGGTGAATTCGCTGAAGGGCACCCCCTGCCCGGGGTGGTGGGGCTCCCAGCCGAGCCCGGC